CATTGCAAAAACTGACGAAGTTGTTTTGTTGACACTTGAATAAAAATTGCGTGGACAACATCCTTCGGTCTCACAAAGCTTTAATCTTTTATAATCCTACAATGACTTTCAGAGCCATCATTAGGGCTGTTCGCTGCATCTCGGCGAAAGACAAAAAGAAAGTGGATTTTTTCCCGTGTCGCCTGTTGAAATATTTTACTCTGACATAATCAGAGGAACGAAATTGTTGCAGCCAGAGGACATTATCAACACAGGACACCTCGCATGGATAAGTGAGAATTTCAGCACCGTGGCATCTGAATGTTTGGACAAGATACCAAAAGTTTTACCAGTCCTCTCGGCAGCTCTTGTTCCTGGCTGATAAAAAAAGCTTCGAGAAACTCGCCGCATTTTAAACTAGCTAAACAGCACCCAGAAGAAAGTCAAAGGCGACCATAGGTTGTTAAAAATTCAATTATCAGAACTGACTATTGATAATAGTTTAGCGGTTTCCTGGTGCTAAGTTTGCCTATTTTGAATTTTTCATGATATTCACGACATCACTTTTAAAAACTTGAAGTAAATTTCTGTGTCGAGTGCAGTCGTAACGAAACAAATTTACGACAAACTTTCATGCACAAAACATTTTTTTTTCTGCAAGAACCAAATCGTTATTTTGATTTCTTTTATTCCAAAAAATTATTTGATGTTTGAGAAAATGGAAATTTTGCGTGCATCAACTGTCCTTAAATACTCCAAAAGAAAATACCCGTAATTTTGCAGGTTTTAACCGCAGAAGATTTTTTTGTTCTGCTTTTTGACCTGAAAACACCAATGTTTTGATTTTTTATTTCACTATCTAATTGTAAAGATTTTGGGTAACTTCTAAATAAACGTTTTTAGATATAGAAATTTTTGAGTAGCGATTTGAAATCGGCCATTACAAATTGTTTTAAGACAATTTTACAAGTTAAAAATTTTATACAACTAATCAAAATTCTCTTCTTGCACGTTTTTTAATTATCATATAAACAGATTGGCCCATCAAACTTGCAGCCAGAAACAACAAACAACGAAATTAACAAGTACAGAGGAATAATTTTTCTCTGCCTTTTTTCTGCTTTACATGTACAATTTTTCTCAAAACCTCAAAAAATTATTTTTGCTTAATTATCCCTGTTTCCTAATAATAATTTCTTATATTAGTCAGAAGAAGTTTTTTGCAATAATCAAAATTGAAATCTAAAAGTGTTGCTTTACTTACAAATTAGCAACAATTGAAACCAAATGTTGCAAAAATATTTTCCCAGGCCCAAGCATTGCAAAAACTGACGAAGTTGTTTTGTTGACACTTGAATAAAAATTGCGTGGACAACATCCTTCGGTCTCACAAAGCTTTAATCTTTTATAATCCTACAATGACTTTCAGAGCCATCATTAGGGCTGTTCGCTGCATCTCGGCGAAAGACAAAAAGAAAGTGGATTTTTTCCCGTGTCGCCTGTTGAAATATTTTACTCTGACATAATCAGAGGAACGAAATTGTTGCAGCCAGAGGACATTATCAACACAGGACACCTCGCATGGATAAGTGAGAATTTCAGCACCGTGGCATCTGAATGTTTGGACAAGATACCAAAAGTTTTACCAGTCCTCTCGGCAGCTCTTGTTCCTGGCTGATAAAAAAAGCTTCGAGAAACTCGCCGCATTTTAAACTAGCTAAACAGCACCCAGAAGAAAGTCAAAGGCGACCATAGGTTGTTAAAAATTCAATTATCAGAACTGACTATTGATAATAATTTAGCGGTTTCCTGGTGCTAAGTTTGCCTATTTTGAATTTTTCATGATATTCACGACATCACTTTTAAAAACTTGAAGTAAATTTCTGTGTCGAGTGCAGTCGTAACGAAACAAATTTACGACAAACTTTCATGCACAAAACATTTTTTTTCTGCAAGAACCAAATCGTTATTTTGATTTCTTTTATTCCAAAAAATTATTTGATGTTTGAGAAAATGGAAATTTTGCGTGCATCAACTGTCCTTAAATACTCCAAAAGAAAATACCCGTAATTTTGCAGGTTTTAACCGCAGAAGATTTTTTTGTTCTGCTTTTTGACCTGAAATCACCAATGTTTTGATTTTTTATTTCACTGTCTAATTGTAAAGATTTTGGGTAACTTCTAAATAAACGTTTTTAGATATAGAAATTTTTGAGTAGCGATTTGAAATCGGCCATTACAAATTGTTTTTAGACAATTTTACAAGTTAAAAATTTTATACAACTAATCAAAATTCTCTTCTTGCACGTTTTTTAATTATCATATAAACAGATTGGCCCATCAAACTTGCAGCCAGAAACAACAAACAACGAAATTAACAAGTACAGAGGAATAATTTTTCTCTGCCTTTTTTCTGCTTTACATGTACAATTTTTCTCAAAACCTCACAAAATATACTTGGTTAATTATCCCTCTTTCCTAGTAATACTTTCTTATATCAGTCAGAAGAAATTTTTTGCAATAATCAAAATTGATATCTAAAGGTATTGCTTGTCTTACAAATTAGCAACAATTGAAACCAAATGTCGCAACAATTTTTTCCAAGGCACAAACATTTCAAATACTGACGAACTTATTTTGTTGACACTTGAATAAAGATTGCATGGACAACATCCTTTGGTCTCACAAAGCCTTAATCTTTTATATTACTACATTGACTTTCAGAGCCATCATTAAGGCTGTTTGCCGCGTCTCGGTGAAAGACAAAAAAAGTGGATTTTTTCCCGTGTCGCCTGTTGAAAGATTTTGCTCTGACGCAATCAGAGGAACGAAATTGTTGCAGCCAGAGGACGCTATCCAAACAGGACACCTCGCATGGAAAATGGAGGATTTCAGCCCCGTCGCATCTGAACATAGGCTTTAGGTTTCACCATGTAAAAAGATAGGAGGTTTGAGATGGTTAGTAGGAAGCAGGTAAATTTCAAATTGTGAGATTTTCAGAGCCCGATTTTACAATTTTCCAAGATGCCATTTATACATTGGGGAAAAACTCAACCGATCTTTATAAATGGCATCTTAGAGGATTGTAAAATTGGGCGCTGAAAACTTATTTAGATATGAAACTCTATGGTTATTTTCACATGACAAGTTTTGACAGCCTTCGGTCTGATCAATCATCCTTCCTTCCTACCTTAAGAGTGTTGACCTCAGGTTGTCCGGGAAAGAGAAAAGTTTCTCAGAATACTTATTCCGCTCCGGTGATTATCCCGAAAAATTTGACATCTCTTAATGTTTGATTGATTTTATATTCCACTTAATATTACGATTATATGAGAGATGCATATCACCAATTCCCCACGGAGTTATAAAAGCGTAAAATCCTTTTTGCGAGATTAAAGTTTCAAATTATGAGAAAAGTTAAAAAACGTCCAAATTTTATTCATTGGAAACTCTGATAAAAATTAGCAAAAAGTATTAGACATTTTTAGCAGCTGTTTCGAGCTTATCATTTTGGCTTTTCATTTTCTTTTCCCAAGAAAACCACTTCCGTTACTCATTACCGAGAAAACTGAAATAAGTTTTTTTGTCTCAAACTTTCTTCAATAAGTTCCTGCTAATGCAACTGCTCAGCTGCAACCTGAAGTGAACTCAAGCCAAACACAATTTTCCATAATAAAGCTGAAAAATCTTTGTTAAATTGCATTGATTTCGTTGCTGTAACATAGGGGCGACAATGAGATGAGAAGTTGTATCTATTGAAGCAATTGCTCTTCCAGTTCGAGTATTTCTAAGCTCTCTCAAATGAAACTGTTGATAGTTGAATAGTTTTAGATGAAAAGATCCCGTTACAGCTGAATTTGTTTTCCTTGCAACTGCTATTCTTCTTTTAAAGCTTTATCGAAACTCTTTTTCTGAATGAAATCGTTTTGACGCGATAGAATTACAAAAGTTTTTGTTATAGTTCCCATGTAATTGTAAAGAACTTTTTCTCTTTCCATTATTCGGTTTAGCTACTGATATTTTTTTTGTAAACAGCGAACAAATAACATTTGTTAGACTAATAGTTTAATTAAAGTTTGAGTTGAGTTGAACTTTTCAAAAAATTTTGTGTCAGTGGGTTTGTTTTTGTTGTCTGACTTGTCAGCAAAATTATGTATGAGTGTTCACTTGATTTAGTTTTTGCTGATTGTCTTTTTTAAAGTGTGGTATCTGATTATTAAACCCGTCTTTGTTGAGCTTTTCAAGCTTGTAACTAACTTCCAGTCAAAGCGATACGCAATAGCTTGCCACTTCCAAGTTTTTGCCGTCGTTGAAACTACCAACGGTTGATTCTATTTTTAAGCTGGATTATGGTTTCTAGACTGGAATAAATCATCGCCTGAAAGATCTGACTCGCGATGATTATATATCATATATGCTATGAATTCCGCAAGCAGGGGTTTCTTATATTGTTTTAGTATAATGATAACACTTTTCTTTTTTGAAACCGTAATTTGCGAACCCCGGTTTTGCAAACAAATTTTCGAAATCCCCCGAGAGTTTGCTGACACCCTGACCTTCCAAAAACTTGAAACCCTGACCTTCCAAAAATTTGAAACCCTGACTTTCCAAAAATTTGAAACCCTGAATTTCCAAAAATTTGACACCCTGACCTTCCAAAAATTTAGTCATTCCTTTCAGGATATATAATTTCACAAACTTGGCTTTTTTGCAAAAATCCAGGCCCGCCTTTGCAGATTTTTAGATCCGCATCTGCACAAATGCATAATTATATTTTAAAAATTTTGGTTTATTATTAGCAGAGATTTGGTTTTAAACAGTTAAATTGTGATGAAAACTTTGAAAAACAAAAGTGATTTCTCTAAAATGGAGAGGCTAAAATTTTATTTTACTTGAATCGAAATAAATCTAATTGGTGCCTTTTAAATTGATATGCTAAATATATAAAACAGAGAGTAGCAAACTCATTGAACAATAAAATAGCCATAATAAACATTTTAACTTCAGTCGTCTTTTTGACAGTTTTTGATTAATTTTCTTACTCAATAGACTATCAACTACCAAGACAGATCTGAATAGCTAATACGTATTCACAGATAGTTAGTCAAATTGTATAATAGCTCTATCATTTCGTGTTTTGCTGTTGTTTTTCTTTTTTATTGATTCATTTTTTGGATTTTTATGCCGCCCCAAAAATGATCTCTAGTATTCACAGATAGTTTATCAAACATTAATCAAATAAAAATATTATTCATTCAATTTTTGGATTTTGATCCCCCACCCAAAAATGATCTCTACTTATCGAAATAACGGATCTGCAGTTGGCGGTGTATCGGGTGTGTTTCTTCGAGAGTTCAAAAACAACTTCATGCTGAACAGTACAACTATAACAGGAAAAGAGGCGTGTGAACAAATTGTCAAGCCAAGAACTAAGGTGAGAAAGCGAAGAAAAAAGAATTAAGACAATAATTGTGTCTAATTTTTGATGTCCGAGGGGTGGGGTTAGTTGTTGATTAGCGCTTCTAGAATTCAAAAGACTTCCAGGAAACTCTAAAATTTATTTTAATCACTAGTTTTTAATTGCCGAACTAAATCCTCCTGGGTAAAATTTTTGCAAACATATTCTAGAGCACAGCTGATCAAGGTCTTTCCCAAAAATGAAGCGTGTTTTCAAAAAAATGCCAAAAAATGCTTCGAAAAATTTTATGTCTATAAATGGTTTTGCGAGCTCTCTCAAAATACTAACAAGAGCCTGTTTCACCATATTTTTGAAAAAAAACTGGCCAAAAATTTTTGGAAAATTTTGAAATGTTTCGACCAAAAAAAGCGCCCCCTTTTGGCAGGTGCTCCCTTTTGCGTTCTCTCCCCCACCCCCTCAAATTTAGTTTTTAGGGCTTTTAGGGTTGGTCCAAACGTTGGGTAGACCATAAATGGATATCTTCAAATACTGAATGAGAGGAAATATCAGTTACCTGCTTTCCTGTATTCGCGCAATCCCAGGGTGAAACAACGTTAAAAAAAAATTTGTGCTACTTTCTTTGATTTTTCAACTCACAATTGCTTACACATAGGAGAAGGAGTGCAGCTTCATGGATCTGTTTTGGGGGAGGGTGGACGCGAGGGGCATTGAGTACGTGGGGGAGGCCCAGTTCCGAGTCTGCTTCGCCTGGAACAGCAATTTCAACGACACCCTACAACTTCTGCTGGACCACGCAGAGAAAGAACTGGGAAGGTATGGACTAAATATATAACTGTTAGGACTTCTTTTGTTCTTTGAGTAGAAAAAAAACAGGCAAAAACAGGCGTTTTTATTTAAGCACTTTTTGAAAAATTTTGACCAAAAATAGCGTGTTTTTGCCCCCCTCCCTTTAAAATTAGTATATATTGACGCCAAGGCGGTTTTAGAAAAATTGTAGGGTCTGTCAGTCAAAAATTTATATCTCATAATAGTACAAAGGGGGACCCTTTTGGTCGGCAGGGGGTCGAATTCCTGAGGGGAAAAAGCGTCCCCCCCACCCTCCTAAATCCGCATCTATTTTCATATAAGTTAATTTTGATAAGGCGACAATTTATGGAAAGCGACAACTGGTTAGAAGCGATAATTGGCAGAATTTTATAAAAAACGATGATTCGTAGAGTCGACATTTTGAAACAAGCGACAATTCGTAACACGGTATTGGCAAATGGCAAACGCTAGCTCTGATTCGCCTACATTTGGCACGAGAATAAAAGTGCACGTAAATCATTGTTTGCCGCACAATATACTGTTACGAATTGCTGCCGGTTCTGAGTTATCAACGGGTTTTGAAAAACTGTCAAATGTCACTTTCTACCAAATGTCGCTTTCGAAGTGTTGTCGCTTCTCTGTATTTTATGATGCCATGTGCGCTTGTAGAAATATTTAAGGGTTAAAAGGCCACCGTAAAATGGTTACAAAAATCTGGTAAAAAATGGGAATCATGAGTTGAGAAAAAAGGGCGGTCGCACGCCAGCTTGACACGCTAGCAGGGGCGAATTTAGGACGCGGCTTTTTTGCCTGTTTTTTTTTTAATTTGCCAGAAACTTTGGTCAAAAATAAAGTCATTATAGTGATTTGGGAGAGCTCAGGAAATCAAATTGGTCGAACTAAAAAAAAGGTCGACAAAATTTTCGAAAAAAAGCCCCCCTCGAGAAAACCCTAGATCCACCCCCTGCACACTAGTGCTACTCAGATTGAGAACTCAAAACATAAAACAGAAACATGTCAACTATATCCCCTGACTCGGTTCAACCTTATTATCCCGTCCAACAAACTGGTTTTTTTTGCAAACTTAAAATCTTCGTAGACCAACGTTGATTGATTCGATTGATCTGAAAGGTGTTACTATTGGATGGATATCTTCTGTGAAAACTACCACGACGAAGAAACGACCAGCCCCCCTAATGTACAGAGATGGCTGAAGAAGAAAGTCACTGCCGAAATCAAACAAGCGGACAACCTTCTGCTGCTGTTACCCGATCTGAAGAAACCGCTCGCTCTCAGAAGGTTACTAATTACAAATCCTTGTTTTGGATTTATAAAACAGAGTTAATTTTTTACACATACCATTGTCAAACGGAGCGATAGTGAAGAAGCTAGAGCTCCGCTTCTAGTAGGAAGGTTGTTGGTTCGAAGCCCGTCACTGTACGAGGTCGTTACTCCAGGGCGAGGTTTCAGATTTTCGGCTTCAGATTTTCAGGTTCAGATTTATGTCAACAAAATTTTTTTTGACTAAATTGATTTTGTCTTTAGATCGTGGTGTGTATTTGAAATTGCAACCTGTCTAAAACTTGGAGGTGAAGTCACGATTCTCTCGAAGCCTCAACAAAATGATCAGCTGGTGTACGCCTTAGTCGACAACGGGGGAGATTTTGACGACACTTTCAAAGGTTTTTCTTTTAAATTTAGAGCGGCCAAAATAGTCGTTGTTCTTGCTTCCCATTCGTAAATGGGCGATACTTATGAACAGATTAAGTGCTTAGCTTAGGAAAAATTTTATTTAAAAAAAAAGAAAAAAATAAAAATATCGCATGTCGAGAGTGTGTGATCTCAGTTTTTTTTTCTATGAAAAAAACCAAGTCTGAAGTCGCTCACTGTTTTTTTAATAGATGCTTAAAAACCATAATTCTTAAAAGCTTGCTTGAGGTTTAGGTTTTCTTTTCAAATTATAATTATTCCGACCAAATTTTCATCAACCGCCGAAAACTCAACCTGGACGCGCCCCCCGCAAATGAGTCCTAATTTTATTATGAGAAACTAACAACAACAACAACAACAACAACAACAACAACAACAACGACGACAACAACAACAACAACAACAAGTCTTAATTTTAAATTGACATTTTCTGCAAGGGTTCTCGTTCCGTGGCGACTTGATGGAGGACTCGGATGTGAGCTACTCGGATGTTCTGCGCGTGATGGTGGAGAAACAGTTCGGGTTCGAGTGGGTCAGCGAACAACTGCTGGAGAAAACCAAAAAGTGGATCATCCGCATATGTAAAGATTTCGAGTTCTACTAGTTTTTCTAGACAACTAGACAGCTTTTTTTGAAAGACAGAAAGAATTTATTTCTCCATAATAGTATGAGTACAGATACAACAGTAACTGTTAAATATTTTAGGAAACTCAAATTAATTGTTGAATAAAATACCAGATTGGATTGGATAGACTAACGGTACAATACGCACCTATTGAGAGTCTACCCGAACACAGATTGATGACAAATTTAAATAAAATAAGAAATAAAAATTATACTTTCTGAAATAATTATACAAATTAAATCACAAAAGAGCCAAACATTGTTTGGTTTTCACTGATTTCGCGCGATTACTAATCTCGTACAATTTAGCAACAGTAATAAGGAAAATAAAAAAAAATTTGAAGTATTTTTTGGAATCTTAATTACAACTTAAGTGGCTTTAATGTGATATACCAATCAAACTGATTCGAGGAACCTGATTTTGCGAGGAAAAAAACAGGTCAAAACCTGGGACTGGTTGGAGCAATAACACAATTATCTGAACGGGAATAATCTCCAAAATTTAAAAAAATGCTTCCGTAAGCGTTTTGGCTCTTTTTCCGCCCCTCCCCCCATCTCAAACGGACATCAGTTTTATAGTGTAATGAGTGGTTTTACAAGGTTAACTACGCGGACCAAAAATGTTCATTAGAGGCCAAACTTTGCTTTTTGAGAAATGCAGGAGGATTCCGCAACAAGGACGCTTCCTTTGTTTCTTTTTTTTTGTTTTTTTTGTTTCGTTTTCTTTGATCGTTCCAACAAAATTTTAACATGTTTAAAGGCTTATCTCTGGAATATAGAAACATACAGACAAAAAATTGTGCGCCTATCCAGTGCACAGTTTGGTCTCGTAATGTTTTTCATGGCCTAATTAGTCCGCATGTCAATTTTCATAACAATCGGACAATGTGAATAAAGATTTTGCGTGTAAAATTTTGTAAGTGGGGGGGGGGGTTTAAAAAGTGGGTTCGACTAAAAAATGAATCGTACAAAAGGTGGGTTGGGGAGCAGGTTTTGAATGGCCAAGGGTCCAATACAATCTTATCTTCCAACTGCAGTCAAACTCTTTTGTTAGGTCGATCAATTTGATTTTCCGAGCTCTCCGAAAATACTATAAGGACCTTATTTTGTCAAAATTTTTCTGCGCCGCAGCAGAACAGGTCAAAAAGGCGTTTTTAGACACTTTTTGGAAAATTTTGACCAAAAAACTTGCGCTTTTTCGGCGCGCGTTCTCCCCTTCAAAATACGTTATATTGGCGCCAAAGACTCCTTCAGAAAACTTTTGAGGTTGGTCAGACAAAAATGGATGTCGTAAACTATATTAAAAGGGGACTCTTTGGAAAAAAAATTGGCAACCAGAATTATTGAGGGGGGGGGGGGGGGTCGCCGATTCCCCCGCCTCCTCACCCTCGGCACGCTACTGATTATTATAATTATTTCGTTTTGTTTAGTCAAGAGGGAGTGTGATGTTCTTCTGGAAAGCAAGTACCAGAAAGAGCTGGGATACAGACTGGCCACGTCTCTGGCCGAATACCTCACCAAGTAATCCTTCAAATTCTCAGAAAAAATTAAGTGAAATTCAAAAATAAATTATCTTTTTTTTGTTCGTGGGCATCTTTATTGAAAAAAAATGAGCTGCTAATAATACTTCGAACAGATAACGCTCCGACCAATCAGATGATGTTGAGTGACATATCATATTCACTTTCGTTATAATTTTTATTCGATCGGTAATTAAAAATGTGCAAAAAGAGTTTAAAAAACGGTTCAAAATAATTTCTTTAAATAAAAAACAGTTTTCGTTTTTGATATGGGTTTTGCAAAGCTAAATATAATCAAATCAAATCATTTTTATTGCTTTTACACCTAATTTTTGCCCCCTTGCTACATCCTCAAAAACTACACAATTTGAAAAAATGGAAAACGAAATTCAATTGTTTTTTTTTCTTCAAAACTTACTGAGGAAGGAAAATTCGGCGCTATACTTTTTTTTATCTTCATAGCATCTTTGATTTTAACACTATAGACGTTTTTTTTCTGGAAAATACTTTTCTTGAAACTCTTTTTTTGATGAGTTAAAAAAACATTCTCAGGGGATAAAAACCAGCAACTTTTCGGCGAGCTTTTTCGGCGTGGTGAAGAATACATGCAGTTTTTATTTATTTTGGTTGTTTTTTAAATCGTTTTGATTGAAGAGTAACTCAGTCTGGAATGTAGGGAACTAAGAGAAATGTACTATGCTTAAACAGACTGCAAGGCCTTTCATTGATCTTCTGCGAATCGCAGAAACGCCAACTATTTTTATTATCTTCTTTTCAAAATGTGCAAATCTGTTCCAATTAGTTCGTTATTTTCATTAATTTGTGCAGATTTGGAGATTTGGCCAATGGGGAGCGTCTTCTGAACAGGGCTTTGAGGATAGGCGACAAACTGTGGCCCAACCAGCTAGAGTTCCCGTTCAAACTCAAAAACATGCTTGGAAAGGTCAAATTCTCAATCAGATTAATGATCATTAACATCAATAGCAATATTTTTGAAAAGGCATTAAAACGCCTGAAATCTATTTTCACGGTTAAATGGGTCGTGAAAATTGATTATATAGGTTAAGTTTTTTCCAACACAATCCAAAAAAAATCAATTTGTCTCATGCATGGAAACTCAATGCGGGGGTTCAATAGCTCAAAAAAATTTAAAAAACCCTCGAGGTACAACTTTTAGCCAAAATTTGGCCCAAAATAATCATATTTAGGCGAAAATTTCAGAAAAAAATGGCCGTTTTTTTATAAAAAAGATCGGTGAACAAAGAGCTCTTAAATTGTTTTTTGGCCCAATTTGGTAATTTTAGGCATAGTCAACTTTATCTGCTTTGATTTAATCAGGGAGTCATAAGGCGAGACTTGGAGGACTTCGGGGGCGCCTCCGAGTTGTTTGACGACGTCCAGGAACTCCAGGACAAACTCGGAGTTCCTCTGAATGACATCAAACGAACCGAGGTCGGATTAGAGCAGGCAATTCTACTCAGACTAACCGGAATGCTTGCCGACGCTCTCGAACTCTTACATCGAATCATTGAAATCCGAGAATCAATGCTCGGGTTAGATTCAATTGAAAACGCACGTTTCGTCACTGAGCTCGGGAACTGTTTCTTTCACACCGAAGATTATGACTCGGCGATTGAAGCTTACAAGAAAGCGAGTGCTTTACTCGAATCAGAGGAAAGTGGAAACATTCTAACAATATCAGCGCTCAGTTCTAAACTTGGTCGGATTTACTACTTAAAGAAAGAGTATTTGGCTAGTATCGCTTTCTACGAAAGAGCAATGCTTCTCACCATTTCAGTCGAGGAACCGCCTCAGAAACAAATCGATAACATCCAAAGTGCGCTTAATGAGTCCAAATTCAAATTGAAAATTCAGTTGGCAAAAGAAGAACACGCGAAAAAAGTTGCCGAGAAGGAAAGAAAGAAAGCAGAAAAAGCGCAACTGAGGCTGGAAAAATTGACGGCTAGTTTGCAACGGAACGAAACAGAACTATCTGTTAACTGACTAAGCTGCTTAATTGGTAAAACTCAAAAAACTTGACGAGGAAAAACTTTGAGGCATTTACCAATCTGATAAAAGACTGTAGTTTTAATTTTCGAATTGCGTGATTGTACCAATTATTGGAAAAAGCTATTTCACTTAAATCTTCAAAAACTCTATATTCAAAAAAAAAAATTATGATCTCTAAAACGGTTTTTCTATCAGTAGTAAAAATAAATGCTACCACTGGTATAATATCGAATAACTAGTGTTAACAGGGTAGAATAGAAATAAGGATAGCCGGACAAAGTGCAAGTAGCACAGAATGTTCCGACTATAGTCTTAAAAATACAACAACGTTTTTTCAAATTTTTGTCGTTTTTTTCTCGGAGTGGTGTGATAAAAGGACTAAAAAACTGAGTATTAGGCATATTAGACAGCCAGTCTAAAATAAGCAAATTGATGAACAATTTTTCGAGAAAATTCACAAGAAAAACGGAAAAAAAATTTCAAAATTTTTTTCAAAATTTGTGCAGTTTTTTTTGAATTTTTGTTAAATTTTGATTCAAAAAAGGCGCTAAAAAATCAAAATAAACTAACGTTACCCATGTTTAATTAAAATTTTATGATTTAAATTCAGCTGTTGTAAGCTTTTAAGCAATCAAAATAAGACTGCTTGCTCGCTTTATTCGCGCGAAAAAAGACGAAAAATCAAAAATTTCAAACCGATTTATCTCGACACTGGGAAAAGTTTTTTGAAAAATTTTAAGGTGGTTCGAATCACAATTTTAAGGGCTTTTATTTGATTTTTCACTCAACACAGTCCAAGCATTATGTATAAAACATATTTAAAGTAGCCTAAGAATTAATTAGAGTAGCTTATAAAACTTTCAAGTGAATTTTTATTACTTAATTTGTTTTTCGTTGCCTACGACTCAAACACGGCCGATAATTTTTTATGATAATTATAGTTTGAAAGGTGAAATGTTGAAATTTTAGAGGAAGTTGGCAAGAGTCCAATTTTCTTTTTTTTGCCATTTTTTGAAGGACATCGGATAAAACTTGAATTACTAAACAGCCCATAGCACTCATATTGAATACATTAAATGCAAATAAATATTAAAATTCACGGTGGTGGAATTATTATCTTAGGATGAGTTCAGTCACGGACAAACATACGCACACAAACTTCTTTCTTATAGTTCCGACCATTGAAAATGGGGAGGAATTTTGTACTGGGTTGTTTTAGTGTTTTTTTCCAGGCAAAGCCACAAATATTTTTCGGAATTATTGACCGAGTACTATATCATATTAAAACCCTATCAGTCGTGATCCAAATCACTATAAAAATTTTTTTAAAAAAATTGTTCCAAACTCAGTGTTGAGAAAAACTGGTTTTAATTTTTGAAATTTTAGTTTAATTTCGAGCGAAAAAAGTAAGCGAGCAGGCTTATCGCAAAATTGTTTTTGGATATTTCAAGTGCCATCATGGCAATAAAAAACTTAAAAAAAAATCGGTATTAGGTTGATTTTTTTTGTTTCAGGTGAAACCAGGTACCGCAAATGAAAATTGCTCAAAATTGAGTCAAAATTGTCGTAACTCTTTCTGTCGTGATTTCAAATTTTCCAAAACTTCCTGTTTTTGAAAAAAAAATGGATTGAACATTTCGCTTTCATATTGCTATGGCGTTAATAACCAAAAAGCAAGAAGAAAAAACCTCAGATGAATAACAAAGAACTAAATAAAAACAGAAAAAAATAGACAAAAAAGTAGAAACTGTTAGTTTCGCAGATATGACTGCGATTGGATTTTGTGCACAGCAACGACTATCACTTTTGTTGGCAATCAGTTAAACACTTTCAATTTTTTAATTTTCCAGATATTTGCAATCATTACCGATCAGTTCCAGAATGTCCAATTACATTTTGATCACTACAGTTTTAATTTCCATATAAGGCAGCAATCCGTCCCATCCGAACTCACGCCCAATTCCACTCTTTTTGTAGCCCCCAAACGGCGTGTTGGCACCACCAGACATGAAACTATTCACCCAAACTTGACCAGATTCGAGACTGTTCGAAACATACAAGGCCTCCGATAAATCATTGGTGAAAACGGCAGCTGCTAGACCATACTCCGAGTCATTAGCCCTGTCAATGGCCTCTTCGATGTTGGAAAACTTCATAATTTGCTGAACCGGGCCGAAAATTTCCTCCTTGGCGATTCTCATATCGTCTTTGACGTTGCTGAAAACTGTGGGCTCAACGAAGTAGCCTTTTTCTGTGAGTCGACCGCCGCCGCACTCCAGTTTCGCGCCCTCTTTTTTGCCCGAATCAATAAAGTCAAGAATCTTTTCAAACTGGATTTTGTCCACTTGAGGTCCATACCTGTAAATAAAATCAATAATTGTTGATTTATGATTATGCTCTGATTCTTATTCACAACACTGTCTAAATTTTATTGAATTAGCTGTTGATGTTAAATGTGTTGAAATGGAAGATAAAATAAAAAAACTTGAGAAAATTGAGGGTGCAATTATATGGAAACGGGGGGCATGCTTAGGGGAAAGTGGTGGGGTGGGTAGAAGATGAACGAACGCTTCCTTTAGAATCTCGACGCCCTCACTAACCCAATGGGGTCTAACTTTTGATACCATTTTTCAATACCTACTTTTGGCCGACCAACCCTAAAAGTTAAAAACTTTCTAAAGGCGCCTCAGCATTTTTACACTAAATTTGAGGGGAAACGCGTTCCGAAAAGATCAGAAAATCCCAAACCCCCCAGCCTCTAACCCGTAGAGAAATTCCAGCATTGGCTTTTTTATGCGAATGAAAAATTTAAGTTTCTCCTCAAACTTCTTTTTCTGGACATCGAAAACTGCATCGCTTAATCACTAGTTTATAAGATGGTCAGAAGTACATTACGAGGCCAACTGTGTATTTTGTGAATTGTAAGCGGATTCCGTAACAAGGACGCTCTCTTTGATCTTCCATTGTTCTTTCGTTTTATATTTGATCGCTCTATCAAAGACTTTGTTTCTTTTAGCATGTTTTAAGACTTTGTCTCTTTTACCTGATATCGTCGGCAAACGGATCCCCGACTTTAGCTCTGGTCTTTTTGGCCAACTCGGCACTCTGCTTCACGAATTCGTCATAGATGTCCTCGTGCACGTAAGTTCGGGTCAGGGCGCAGCAAGTTTGTCCCATGTTCACATAGCATGCATCTTGGGCCAAGGGGACGACCTTAAAAAACAGACCTTAAATAACCAATGAAATGAAAACTGAAAAAAAAAAATTCTAGAAAGATGGTTTAAGTTAAAATGTGAATAAGAAACTAACCAGCGCAAAAATTGACGGGATAGAGTTTTAGAGTTTCTTGACTGATGTGTCTGATTCAACAAAACAATATAGCAATATGAGTCATTTTTGGATTTTACAAGTGATTTTTGTGAATTTGTGGAAACAAAGTTCACCTTGAAGCAAACATTTTCAACTTTGTATGCAACTTTTTCGTCGCATTTTCGAAAGTTTTCGAAAATTTTCGAAAAATACTAATAATTCAATAGTATTAAGACTTATTAGGACTGGCATAAACTTGTAAAAAAAATAACGGTTTCAGTTTGGTGTTATATTACCATGCTCAGATCGGCACTTTTGCCAACGATGAGAGCACTTTTCCCGCCCAGTTCCAGAGTGACCCTCTTCAAGTTGGTATCCCCGGACGCCTTCTGGATCAGGTGTCCCACTTCAGTTGACCCCGTGAAGGTCACCTTGTTGATGTCCGGATGTTCCGAGATGGCGGCACCCGCGGTCGGTCCAAACCCCGTGATAATGTTGATCACACCTGCAGAAAAAAAGACAATTTATCTATTTTATCACGGGGATATAGTTAATTTATTTGCTCAGTTTTAAGCTGCAAGGACGGCCAATTTTTCATCAGGCCGGATTTTATAAAATCAAATTATTCTTTGCAACAGTGAAAAATATTCTACAAATTGCTATAAATCTATCATTTTTTCAAGTTAAAGCGAATTCTAGCATAAATCATTTAATCTTTTTTTCTTTTTTGGAGAAAAAACCATAAAATAAATGGTGTAATAAAAAATATATGTTTTTAAAACTCTATAAGTAATAAAACAATTATAACAGCGAAAAAAAGTAATGCGCAGAGCTGTCAAAAAGTAACGCATGTGTACAATTTGAATCAATTTATAATACAATCTGTGATTATTATTAACATATATCAACTTACATCATCAAAACTTGACGAACACGTTTGGTCAAAATGGACAAAAATCAAGAAGAATACGAACAGAATCCGTTGAAATCCGAACAATTAGCCGACGAAATCCGAAAAGTTTACACCGAGAAAATTACCGCGATTAAAAAAGCCGAGCCCAAAGAGTCATACACAGCGGAAGGCGCCAAAGTCTGGGCCGAATTCGTGAGGGAATCTTTCCAAAGCGTAGATGAGAATGAAACTTCGATTAGTTGGGAATCGTATGAAAAAGCGAAGGAGCTAACTTCCGGAAAGAAGTTTATCTTTTGTGTGAAAACTTTCGCTGAAATTGACGATAATGGGAATGGATTAGTTGACCTTGGAGAGGCAAAGAACCACGTTAATTGGAAAAAGGTTGGATATTTTTCCCAATTCAGTTGACTTTGAACCCATTTTTTGATCGGAAAAATGAATCTTTCATTTTCAGTTCAGGGCTAAAATTTTCTGTAACAAAATTTTCTGCCAAATATTACTTGAGTTTATCACTTGAGCATAATTGGACTAACTTAACATCCTCCCCTCCGTCCCAACCCCCCCCCCCCCCCCCAAAGCCGCTATGGTGGAGGATGTTAACTTAATTCTGAGTTCGAATTTTCAAATGGAACAAATAGGTTCAAATAGTCTCGATAATTGTAATGACAGTTTTTTTTGGCAGGTGTCTCGATTTATGGACAAGGACAGGAATCTGGACGGCCAAGTTTCTCTGGCTGAGTTCCTGGACTCAGTCAAGAACCCCTTCGACGACCTGCTAGAGGAGTACAAATTCAGATACAACAACTACCTTCACTACCTCGAACACAGAAAGTGAACAGAACATCCAACCATCATCTAGCCACGTGTTAAATGGCTGAAAACAGTCGAACTAAAGTGATTTTATTCTATTTTTTTTCGAGACAAAAGCATACTTTATAGGAATTATGTGGATTATTAATAGAAAAAGAACACTTCAATCTTACTTCATTGTTTCAATTGAGCAGTTAAAAGTGTAACCCAAAGTTTATTTTTTTGAGAATAAATCAGATGCAGCTAAGTTTTATGATCAAATCAGGCTAGATGCAAAATGCAGAACACGCGCAAGTTCGAAGCCGCAAAACGCCTGCAATGCGTTACAACGCCATCAATTCAAAAACAAAGACAACAGACAGTTGGAAACCTGTCAACGAACGCAAGTAAACAGAAAAAAACGGACTTGTTTTTTTTCATTAAAAACCCGACTTTTGAAATTCAAAGAAAAAATAGACTTTCTTAGATTTTTTAGAATTTCTAGAAAAAATTTGATTGGCGTTTTTTGAAAAATTAATCCGATTTGTAAAAACTTGATCAACAGGTAAAATTTTTATTTTTATTTTTAAAATCTGAAAATTAAATGCCACTTTTGAAGCTAGAAGTCAATAAAGTTTTTCGTGAGTTTTACACTTTTGCTGTTCGATAGTAGAGTTTGCTTTCTTTTTAACAGTGGAAATCAACTAAGCTTAAAAAAATCCAAACTCAAACCGCGAAAATGCAAAACCTTATTCTGAAAATAAAAACGAAAAGAAAATCATCACGACTAATGTAAGAACTATGTAACTCATCGACTTCCAAAAAACTATTTGAATTTGAGCTCAAAAGAACAATATTTCACAGATATTATTTTAAAAATCCGTCAAAAACGTTTAGTTAAAAAGTCAAAAAGGAACTGAAAAAAAAAAAATTCTACCTCATGCATAACTTTTCTGCACTTTCTTTGAAAGTCGGAACAACAAAATGAGAAAAAGTAGGAAAGAGCCCAAATATTTCAGTTTCACTTTCCGATAAAAAGTTTTCCTTTTTCTAATTTCCCCGCTTATTTTCATTTTTCAGTGAAATTTTACATGCCATTCTGGCTAAATGCATCAGTTTTCAAAATAAAAAAACGAATGCTTTGCGAGTAAAAAAAAAGTGGCCATAGTTAAAAATAGTTTTGCCTACACTTGTTTTTGATCCGACCATTTGATAAAAGAGGAAGAAACAAGAATTTGGGTAAATTTTGGTCTTTTTTTTGTTTTCCACGCAAAATCAGGTTCCCCAAATAATCAGCGGAATGGGTCTAGTGATATATCATACTAAAGCACTTTCAGTCGTAATTGAAACAACTTTGAGAAATGCTCGAAGCACAAATGAAACTTTACGGTCGGAGGATTATTATCTTAGGAGGAGTTTGGTCACAAACTTACACATACATAAACCTCTTTCTTTTGTTCCGACTTTGAAATTGCGGAGGAATTTTGTGTCGGGTGTGTTTTAGTTTTTTTGTGTTTCGAAGCAAAAATCAATTATCGGAATGGGATGAATGATATATCAAATTAAAAACATTTCAGTCGTTATTCGAACTACAACTATATTAGGCAATTTTCAAAAAATTTTGAGTTGAAAAAAAAAACCGGATTGAAACTTTTAATTTTTGGTATAATTTCGAGCAAATAAAGTGATTGTGCAGGCTTAAAGTAGCTTGTTCATGCTTAATTAAAACCCTGAAAACTTATTTTTTAGCCAATAAAGTTAGGTTTTTGAGTTTTTAGCGCCAATTTGGGAATCAATTCTTTTTATAAAATCAAAAACTTTCACCAAAAAATTTTTGAAAAATGGTTTGAATTTTGTTCTATTATTTTTTGTTTTTCTATCATTTGTCTACAAAAACCGTTGCACAGTTTGCCCATATTATAATTACTGTCTAGTTTATATTAGATTATAATATGGGCAATAATATTATAATTTTAGTTTATATTAGATTTTTTATTACATCTTCTAGAAAAAACTACAAAAAATTGGAAAAATTAACCGGCATTTCTTGTTCTTATCTCGCTTCTGATATTGTGTTTCTTTACTTTTTGACTACTTCTCTTTGTGCGCGATGCTAAAATGATTGTGCCAGATAGTAAATTTTTTTACCATGAAAAAAAAATCACAACATGAGATAATTTTACTCTTATTGACTCTTCTGTCGACATTTGAATTGACTCTAGCATCACTTTACCTCAGTAGTATCAGTTATTGCAAAATTTTGGGTTGCGGGAAGTTCACCACTTAACCAAATGAGGTATATCTTACCTTAATTTCGAAACACTTTAACTTGCATCAAAATCGGAAAAAAAATCCGTGAAAAATGCTAGAATCTTGATCCCAATTGTTTATAGACTGTTCTCTGAGTTCCATTGACCTACACTTGCCAAATTGTGCACCATCCAGTGCACAGTTTTGCCTCGTAATTCAGTAAATTGTAAGGACCAAGTCTAAAAGGCAATTTATCTATGGTTTAGTAATTAACTTGCCTAGAATGTAATGATTTATGTCTTAAGAAAAAACAAATCTCGAATTTGAAACTGAAAATTGAGGTTCATCATTGTGTAATTACCCTAAAAAGCGAAAAAGAAGCTTCAAAGATACGTAAAGCGGGTAACAAGATCTGGGTCGAGTTGCCCACTGTTTGTTTCGACCGTCTCGACCGAATGTGGAAATGTTTCGAGCGTGCTCGACCGAAAAGAATTGCTCAACGGTGCTCGGCCTATGCAAGATATGCTCAACCGAAAACAATGTGCTCGACGTACTCGACCCAGCTCGTTGTACTCGACGTAAGCGAGATATGTTTTGACCATCTCGACCAAATTCGGGTATGTTTCGACCTTCATTTTGCTTTTCTGGTAACAGCCCAGGATGCTTTTTTATCAAATTGAATTTATTACGTGCACCGGAGATAAATTAACACCAGCAAAAAAAGACGGGAAACTGAAAAACTTCACGAGAATCTCCATTTTTCTGATGTAACGTCTATTAAGACAAGAACAACTGTTAAGAACAACTGAAAATTACTTGTAATTTTCAGAATAGTTTACAAAAAACTGATTATAACCCTTTGTAATTGATTCTAATTCATCATAATTATTTATCATCGATTAAAATGGCTTTTTTTTGAAAAAAATTAAATAATCATCCATTTTTAGTCGATTATAATCAATTAGATTTGACTTCTTTAGAATTTTGAAAATCGAAAACATGTGATTAATATCCATGAAACTCCTGTACAGGTGGGTTATTTACAACTTAAATGCTGCTTTGTCGAGATTAAGTTCATGTTTGAAGGAATACAAGTTCATATTTGAGAGATTTTTGTTTTTCACTCCAAGTTACCGCGGAAAATTAGTTTGTTTCGACCGTGCTTGACCAAATGTTGATATGTTTCAACCGTGCTCGTGGTATGTTTTGACTTTGTGCTCGACCCAAATCCCTGTTTCTGCTATTGTTTTTTGGTCGAGAAAAATCGAAAGATAAAGTGAGCAACTCGGCCCGGATAGTGTAGAAAAAAAAAGCCAAACCAAAAGCCAGTCAAAAAAAACAATGGTGCATAAATCATCCGAAGCTTTTGATGCTATATATAAAATATATAAACCAGCTGAAACATTCTTTGAACGAAACTTGGAGGACTCGCGTAACTGTTACATAAATCTTAAATAGCTAGTCACAAAACAGTTACCTATTTTCGGTTTAAACTTCAGCTTGTTTATATACCACCGATTATAGATATGTACTCTGAAAATCAAAACAGCAGAAAGCCTAGTGATTTTTAAAATTTGAACTAAAGCAACCCGGATCACTTTAACAATTTGCAACTCCCGCTTTGATACTTAGTAAAGATTATCACCCATCCAATGCAATAACTCTGAGAGGCAACAAATTTGAGAGGCACTTAGCATAGTGATATGGCGTTCACTTTGAGATCGTCAGATCGTGTAATCGATCCCATGCCATGGCAATGATAGTGTGTGAGGACGAGCTCTCACTTGACCTCTAGCTTCAGGTCTACCACAGCTCGAGCAATTACGGCTGCAATAGTGGTGCCACGTGAAAGCTCTAGAGGCAAAAAAACGGCCTTGAGTTGCAAAAAAAAGAGCTTGGATCAACAAACATAACTCAGTCTGGAGTTTGAGGAAACAAGAGAAACGGACTATGCTTAGTCAGGCTAGAGAGCCTTTCATAGATCCTCTGCGAATCGCAGAAACCACAATTAATATTAACTCAACGGTTAAGTATATGCGAATTTTTTACTTAGTAGCGAACATCCCCTTTTACAAAAGAGGGGGGGGGGCATTTCGTATCGAACCCCATACCTTCTTACCAATTGCGAATAAGCCAAGTACGATAGCTTATGAAACTGTATCTATTTGCTGTTTTTGGGATCCCATCAAAAGAAATGACTTCAAAAATGGTTCCAGAAGTTAACCTGGCGGCTCACTCTCATCGTACGGAATTGCGAACAACTAAAGATAAGTCGAAATTCGTGAAAAATATTTTAAAAAATTACCTGCAGGTATTCCCGCCTCGATAGCAATATCCCCCAGCAGCAGGGAAGTGAGGGGGGTCTGTTCTGGGGGTTTGAGCACGATGGAGTTGCCTGCCCCTAACACATGTGCCAGTTTGAAACAGGAAAGCATGAAGGGGAAGTTCCAGGGGGTGATCGCACCCACAACTCCAACTGGCTCGTACCTGCAAGAAAAGAAAACCATTTTTTAGATAATAGTTATTCTAGTCGTCCGCAAATTTTAGCTATACCATTGATAGTCTTAATTGAAAAACTTTTCACGGTGTTTTAACCACTTGAATATTAATTTTATTAGCATCCTATTCTGTACATCTGAGTATCAAATAAAAATAAGAATTTTCATTGTCTTCAAATGTATTTGGAAAAGACGCAAAAAATGCAAATATGCAAAAGTATTTTGTGAAAACAAGGTTGGTTTATTCCAGTGATTCCATTGGAATGATATGTTGCAGTTATTAAACTAAATCAATCATTAACAAATCTGTATTTAATAGTTTTCCGCTTGCCGAACGAGATTGCAGACGTAAATAATATCTCATTGCTTTTTATGATTTTCCTTGACCGGGTGATCTTGAAACGAGCAAGGACCATAGTGGCCTCGAATCAGCAACCTATCGATCAAGAGGCAGAGACCTAACCCACTTAAAAACTTTCCTACTGACCTGGTGTATCCCATTTTTCCGTTTTCCATGGCGAGTGTTTTGCCCTCTATCTTGTCACAGTAGCCCCCGTAGTACGTGAGACATTTAATGCCCGCCCGAATATCCCCCACTGCACTCGTGAACGGCTTCCCATTGTCAACTACCTGCATTTAGTCCATAAATTGTTTTTTTTAATATTCAGTTTTCTGTAAAACGTTTTTTGAAGCTTCCCATGCGTGGCTGGATCTTCCCGGGCCAATTGAACACTATTTCTTTTTAGTACTAAATAGTTGTCTTTATTTTTGGGCAGGTTTTTTATTAGATTATGAAACTAAAAATATGTTCGATTTTCCGAAGCTTCTTAGTCTGATGTTTTCAATTAGGCCAATTAACTTTGGCCTTACTTAAACTTATTTCATTTTTCGCCGTATTCATTGAATAGGAAAGTCAGCGGTCTCGAGAACAGAGAAGGGTGGGGGTCCTGTTAGAAGAGCCTATATTTTCTACTTTTTTGTACGGTACAATTAGCACCCGCACCTCAAGAGACGCGATGTACTCTATGTCTCTTTCGATGATGTCGGCCATCTTCATGAGCAGGAGACCCCTCTCTGCGGGGGCCATAGTCCTCCAGGGGGAGTTCCTCTTCATGGCCAGTCGGGCAGCGGACACTGCCAAGTCCACGTCCGCTTTCCCACCCTCTTGTACCTGAAGAAGAAAAACAGACCATGTTAGCAATCCCCCCACCGCGATAGCAAAATGCCGAAAAGAAAATTATTACATAAATGTAATTAAAAAATATTTAAAATATTTACAAAAATTTATTGAGTTTATCCGTTGAAGTAGTTTCTATAGCGGTGATAATCATACAAACAAAACGAGTGGAAATCAATGGAGTGTCTTCCCTAGGCTTCAGAAGGGGGCAATAAATAACAGGGTTCAAGAAAAAAAAACATGATCCAGTAATAAGAACCCTCATCCAAGAAGGATCGAATCCAAGAAAATTAAGTTAGCCAATCAGAACGCGGCAAAACTTCATAAAAGCATGACGTCGTTAAAATAGTTTTTTTAAAAACAAAAACTTGAAATTTGAAACTTACGGAGCAGATGACATCTTCAGTAGCTGGGTTTATGCTTTCAAAGGTCTTCCCCCCGACAGCATTTACCCATTCATTATTGATGAACAATTGGGTACGCTTAACTGCTGGCTTTTTAATCGACTTTAGTCCAGACATTATTTTTCGAACGGTTCCAAAAGCTACAAAGTCTCACAAAATCTAGAAAGTCAAGAAGAAATCAAATTAGTTGAGATGAAATTTCGATTGACTGAAATCAGATTGGGCCGCTTGCTGAATGGTTCAAATGTTTCAGAACCAATATTTTCTACTTTTATTTGCCGGAAAGTTTGCAAATCTTGCACAATCTGATTGTTTTAGCTTGCCTACTAGACAAATTTAATGATAAGATAACTTTGCGTTTTGTTGGTTTTAAAAACTTGAACGGGCAAATTCCAACTCAAATTACACAGTCCTTACTTCAATCAAAATATGCCTTAGTTAACAAATGGTTCATTGAGTTAAAAACACAGTATAACAAGGTCATACCAGGGCGCTTGTATTCAATGTTTGAAATGCAACTGCAAAGATTTTAGTTTAAAGAAAGCGTTTGCATATGGTAAAATGGCAGGTAGGCGATGACGTTATTTGAGCAATCACATTTTAGGGGTCCTAAAGTAACTTTCATTTTGTGAGTGCAGATATGAATGCGGGTCGTTTGTGGGGGGGGGGGGGGGGTTTGTGGGGTAGTGATGTGAGGGAGGTGAGTGGTGGCTATTAAACGGGGGTGCGGTAGGAGTAAGAATTAATTTTGATTTTTTTTTGAAAAAAATTTGATTATAGTAACCCTAATTAGGAGTCTAACAGTCATAAATAATCTAGCTCCTACCCTAATTGAAATAAAAACCTAATAAAAATATGAAATAAAATGTAACTAGCAGAGGAAAAACTCAATTATTGATTTTTTTTCTTCAAATTGTTTTCGTCTCGAACCTCGCGTCCCAGCTCATGCCCCGCGGTTACCAATCCACTTACGTGAATGAGTCGTGTTCTATTCTGTAGATACCACAATCTGCAGAAGTGAGAGTAACATTGTAAATTGTGATACTGACTTTCGAAATTTTTCATTAAAATTCCACCTGGTAATTTAATTGAACGAAGAAAAAATTCAGACTTGAAGGAAAATTCAGAACAATTTTAAATTGTTTTAGTGTCAGCTCAAAATTAAATTGAAAATTATGAGCCATGGCATAAAACGAGCCATGAAATGAGTTATCGAATTCCTAGCCTTGACGATCGTATGGGTATTGATACTCTCTGTTTTACCTAAATTTCAATTTCTTCAAACGACGCCTCAAGCAGGTTACTGCTAATTTTTGAAATTTGAAATTTTTATCAGATTAAATTCAAACTAAAAAAATCTGTTCACGCTAAATTTTATATCAAAACTATGCAAAAAAAGCTCGAATATGCAAAGCCATCATCCGACAACCGAGGCAGCTTAACAGCACGCTCTTGAATCTTCGTTAGTCGAATCGCCAAAAGCCAAATTTGGAATAAAGAAAAGGGCTGACCTTTCCTTTAAAAAACGTTCCTTTAAAAGGGCTGACCTTTCCTAGAATATTTTTCCGTAAAAAATTTTGTTTCGAATAAATACTAGCAAGTCAAAATTAAATTTAAAATTAAACAAAGAGTTAGGAGTGAGTATTGGTGTCTTATTTAGGATTGTAACAAAACATTTTAACAGAAACGATTAAAAGAATATAGCTAATTGAATATTTTAAGGAAAAACAATTTAAAAAAGTGTTGACCTGTAATAAATCAAGAAAAAAATCCAACTTTTTGAATTTTGTCTCGAATGTCTTTTTTGCAAACCCGCGTCCACACTAATGCAGGCAATTACCAACGCGCTTAATCAATTAATTATAATGTATTCAGTAGACATCATAACCCGCTTAAGTAAATTTGGGCTGCTTCCTATTGGCTTGTTTCCTACGAAAAAAATCAACCATTACATGGCCTTTCCAACGTTTTTGTTTGTTTTTGAACTGTTAATTTTTAACCTGTTTTTTATTTTTAACTTTTTTGGTCGATAAAAATTGTAGAAAATAACATAAAAAAGCAATTCATCTTAATTGATGCTAAAAAAATACAAGCATTAGAGTTAATTGCCGAAACTTCAAAAGGAACGTTATATTCATAATCATACTTGAAGATTTACTGAAATTTTTTTCTTCAAACGACGCCATCAATTGATTCAGGTTACTGATTAGAATGCGAAACAGTCAAGCAAGTTAAAAAGGGTATCTATACGACTCATTTTGCCACGCATGTTACGCAGGTTGAAAAATAACATGTTTTTTTATTTGAATACTTAATCAAATCAAAGTCCAACCTGAAAAATTAGAGCAAGTTCACTTTTAGAGCAAAAATTATTCACGGAAACCTGAAAAAATGCGGTTGTATGAGACTGAAAATCCTTCAAACCGAGCCTGCTCAGCATTACACTCTTAGAACTTTTCTAGTCAAATCGCCAAAAATCAAGATAGCAAAAAAGAACAAGAACTCACCTAATGTTCTTTTGAAAAATTAAAAAATTTCTCAACCAAAAATTAAGATAAAAAACAATAATAATAATTTTAGTTCCTGCGAATCGCAGAGGAGCTATCAGTAGGCCTTAACAGTCCTGTCGAGGATAGTCCATTTGTATTATCTCCCCACATTCCAGAAAGTGTTATTTTGCTGAGCGAAGCTGTTTTTTGCTACACAAGGCCGTTTTTTTTTGCGTCGAGAACTTTTACGTGGTACCACTATTGTAGCCAAATTTGGTCAGGTTGTGAGAGCTTGTCCTCACACACTATCATTGCCATGGCATGGGATCGAATACACGATCTGACGATTTCAAAGTGAACGCCTTACCACTGTGCTAAGTGCCTCCTTTGCTTCAAAAAGTTTATAAAATCAAAATATTTTTTTTTTGGTAAAAATTCTGACCTCGCACAATTCACAACAATCATTTGAGTTCAAAAGTGAACAATCAAATTTTCCATTTCACTTTTCCAAAAGTGAATATGTTCCATTTGATATGCTTCAAAATAAAATTAAACAGGCTTCAGAATGACATGCAACTTAACAACCAAAAATACTTTCAAAACTTTTTTGCAACTAGTTCAAGCTCAAAATTGAAGCAATGCTTGATTAAAAACCTATGAATTTTATAGAACAGGTTTTTGGCTCAGCAGAATTTTTTTCAATCAGTACAAGGCAATTATTTTAGAAACAAGTTAGGGAGTTTTTATTTTGTTCGTTATAGTTGATTTATTTTCCAATGAATCGAAAACTTCAATAAACTTTTCAAATGTATTTTCTCTCCCAAATATTTTCAGCGCAATAAAACCAATGAAATTTTTTACAAATTTGTTTTTGTAGAACTGTACCAATTTTGAACCGCTTAAAGTAACTAGTGAATATCCAGAAACTTTTAGTAGTCAAGAAAGCCATCATTTTCTCGAATTGTTTGCTTGCCTATATATTTTTTATAGCTTTTTCTGCATGTATTTGGCCTTTTTGGGTGTGTAGGTTCAAAACTTTGTTCGAGATTTTTTAATGCTCAGTGTTGAAAACTTATTTGCTGTCATCCATATTTTATAAAAAGTTAGTATATTGAGATAGATACCAGCCATTAGAAACTGAGCATTGTTGTCCTAAAAAAAGACAAAGGCTGTTGTAACGTCGGTTTCACATTTTGCAAAATTGGCTTCACCGCAAAGCTATTTTTTAAAGCTTGAAGCAGTGAGTGAAGTTGCACTGTGATGAATATCATGGAGCTGTGAAAGCTTTGAGAGCTTCAAAGGTCAGAAATACAATTATCTTGAATAATGGAACAAAAAATATATTTAATCCGTTCAACCACAATTTTTTCTTTTTTTTTGTTAAAAGTGACAGTGAATTGGTAAAAAAAACTGAGAACCGCTTTGTGTTCCATTATCAGGCTATTTTCTACACTACTTTGATTTTTTTGTATTCACTTGATTCGAAAAATCAAAAAACGAAGGAATAGTTTAAATGTTGAAATAGATTTTCCCCTAAAAAACAGGTTGGGTTTGCTTACGCTAGATGAGCATTTCAACAACTGATGGTTTTTCCGATACAATAGTTTTTTTTTTCTCTTAGCAAAGTGATATTAAAAAGTTCCTGCTTCAAATTGACTTGCATTGAGGTGTATAGAATTTTGATCTGTGCAAAAGGCTAACATGATTTCAACATTTCATGATAACTTCAAAGATTGATCTTAAAAAATTCCATATAGTATTTTTGAGAGCGAGCGTTCGATGGAAATATGCAGTTTTTAGATCAAAGTTTTTGAAATAATGACTTAGAACGGCTTTTTTGAGCTGCTTTTGAAAAACAAAAAACAAAAAACAATAGGCGTACGCTCGTTCTGCAAACATTCTGCTTTACTTATTTATGAGGTTGCGTCTCTCGGTTGTTTCTCTCTTTCTCTCTTTTTCTTAACGACACCGCAAAGTGGTCCCTTGTTTATTGCGGGTCGACCAGTATTCACTAATGTCAACAATCCCGAAAATGTTACTGTACTATGATGCTTGCCCCCTTTTGTCACTGCTCTTGTGGCTGCATTGCTCGTAATCGCAATCGCATGAATTTTTAGTGGTAATCATGTTTTGATTATAAATGTTTAAAAACAGAGGTCTCTGAGAGGTTAATCTTTTCAAATTCACGTTAAATTCACGTTAAATTCAAATTCACGTTAACACTGACTTATTCTCAATCAACAATTTCTCACTGTTGAGAAAACCCTTACCTAACGTACTGATCTTTACTTGAGGGAAACAAAAACTTCACAAATGTTGAATTCATCTCTAACTAACTTTGGAAACCAACTATATATTACCTCTGCTGTAAGTGTTTCTTCTAAGGATAGGCTACCCGTAATCTTTTCGCTATGGTTTTCAATTTGAGTTTTAGTTAAGTTTATAGTTATCGTCGCCCTTGCAAGCATTTACATTTTTTAGCACCCTTGAACAAGGAACTAACCAGAGTTTTGCCCTGATGTTAGTAGTTGCCAGTTTCTTTATAGCTATCTCCAACGAAGTTGTGCTATCATGAAGTCCAATTTCACCTTTTACCGAGCTATTCTTACTAAAACAACTTTGCAAAGATTTCTTTTAAGCATCTTGTTAACTTTCAGCTCTTCTGAGGCTATGGGAAGGTCTTTTTTAAATATAACTACAGCACTTAAAGCTTTTAAAAGTTACCGCTCTTAATCTTTGTCAATCCCGATCATCTAGCTACCTGAGGAGATTTTTTTTTATTATTGGAGACCTCATTGCACCAAAATATCATTTCTGTGGAACTAAGTAAATATGAAAATATCCT